GGCAGGCCCACCCGAAGGAGGGCAAACCAAGAGCATATTTTCCATCTTGGGATGATGATTCAGTCCAGCAGCGGTGATGGTGAAAGCAACAAGACAATAATATGTTTTCTGTCTTTTAGATTGAATCTAATGAAGGGAAAGATTATCGCGAGCGCAAGATTAGATCTGTGTTTTTTTTTTTCCCGGTTTTTCAACAATATAAGCCCAATATCTTTTGTCCCGAAGGGCATTGCCCCATCCCTTTACATTGGTTACAGACAGGCCTTGCTTTCACCACAGGCCTGTCTGTTCCCAGAATGATCGCAAGTAAATGAATCAGCCATTAAAAGCTTCAAGCAGTATCACATCACTCGTTTGTTTCCAGTAACAACAATTATTATCTGGGTAATACTTGGGAATTAAGGGCTTGCCTGGACTTGAAAAGAAGAAATTTCCGTGGTTTATCGATCATTCCACGCATCTTTGTCAAAGTGGCAAATAGGTTGCTTTTTCAACATGTCGAGCAAAACCCTAATCAGAGTTCTCAATCATTACCCAGAAACATCATCATTTCGACCCACACAAAGTCCGGGCCATCACTTGGATTTTCTGACTGCATCTTTCCATTCTGAGGGGAACAATTCATATCTCAATGACGGTGGTAATGAGTAGAGCTGCACGTGCAAAGAAATAACATTTTGTACCTCTCGTATGGGATCTACTTTTATCAATGTCAGACGAATCATTTAATGATTCTTACCAACGCATTTTACCATCTGCCACACTGACACATCAGTACCCAGTACGCAGAACTTGAGGAAAAAATGCAAAAATAAATAAATATCTCACCTTGTTTTCCAAGCAAAGAGGATTTTCTATGATTGACTTCGTCAGCAAAACTAACTGATAAAGGGCCACACTTGCACTTTCATAATGGGTGACTGAAACTCGGATCTCCACCTCAAAATTAAAGCCAAATAAAAGAATACAGGATACATGGGACAAATAACTCGATTGCTGACCATTTACATCCATCTTTATGAGTCATCAAGTTCATTTCATAGTCAGGCTATAACCAGGCTACATGGTTAGGATGAGAGCTATGAACACATAAATGGCAAA